AAATTCAGCACTAATCACAAAATTATGAATATCCATTGTGTACATGACCCTACATACAACATCGTTAAGTGCTTCTTATTTTGTCAAGAAACAACACACAGAAAAGTCAGATGATTTCTTTGCTATAAAAACAAAAGGTTATTATTTAAATGATTCAATGAAATTAAAATACTGAGAAAGGGTTAATAAAAGAAGTGAACTTCACTGTCATGAGATAGTTAGCAGAAGTGTGGGAATGTTTACTTATAAAATTGGGGGAATGTTTACTTATAAAACTCTGCCCTATAGCCAGTAGCCTTACAACTAAATCCCCTTTTTAAAGGACTTTTCCATAAAAGTTACAATGAAGAGCAAGCAAATTTCATTTCGGAATAACGCAGAAAGATTACTCAATATTAGGTCAATAACTACAGCATTTAAAAGACATACATGTCTGTATAAATTTTAGGGTATCTACTTCTAGGGTGCATGTCTACTTTCATCAGCTTACTCAAACAAAATTTTGGCTCAGTTAAAAGCAGTGACTTTGATATTTTCTTTTGTTTGCCAAGTTTTACCAGCGGATGTTAGACACCTAAAAATTACATAATTATCAAAATCTTATTTGTCTGAGTCACAGAACTACTACAAAAAAAAAAAAAAAAAAAAATCAAAGGAACTCTTTCTTAGTTATCTATATATATTTATTACCTTCAACTAATTATGCCATTGCTAAATTCCTCCCACCCCCAGTACTCAAGCGGATAAATCGAGCCTGTATTTCCAGCACATTTTTTCATTATCACCATCAGAATTAACACAAGCAATTTCTAAAGATTTCAGCATATTGGGGGATGGCAGGTATGAGAGAAAACAGATCTCCAATTAAGGGCTCTTACGTGTTATTACTGAAGTTATAAAATAGTCCAATGGAATATTTTGTAATGGAAGCAACAAAATTCTTCTTTAAATATTAAAATCCTTTTATATCATTTAGTTACAGTGAAAAACATATTATTAAGCAGGTCAAAATCTGAAATTCATTTAATGTATATTTTTTTCTTTAGGCTTCCAAGAATTACTGCTTAGAAGAGTAAATTGCTATCCGGATGGAATGGTGGCTCAAACACAAGAAACAAAAATAATTCAGGTTTTTTGGCTTCTCTTCCAATTCTGTAATTGTCCCCTACAACAAACACACACACAGACACACACACACAGACACACACACACAGACACACAGACACACACACACACACACACACACACACCTTTTCTCACCAAATAAAAGCAAATTTTAGTTGGAAACTAATGTGGACACTTTTTACATGTGCATAAAACACAGTTCAGTAAGGCTGAAATTGAATCTCAAAATAATCACTCCAAAACCATAGTTTAACTTACTTTACCACATCATCAGGTATCAAATTTCAGTTTGGATACCTGAAAATCAGTAATCTATCCATACTAAAAGGTCTATAACACCCAAATTCTCTTGTTATATCAACTGTATGGTCTATACCCCCACATACACAAACACACACATAGAAAACACCTTCCCACCTTTACAGGGCTCTACATTAACATTTGCTCTAATGTGGTGAGGCTTCAAAATATCTTTAAAAATCAAGCATTTCCAGATTACCTTTTAGCCTTATTCAATGCTAAGTCTGTGATTAATAATGCAGATTTCGAATAGGCGCACGCCTGTAATCCCATCACTTTGGGAGGCCGAGATGGGCAGATCACTTGAGGTCAGGAGTTCAAGACCAGCCTGGCCAACACGGCGAAATCCCATCTCTACTAAAAAATACAGTAACATTAGCCAAGTGTGGCTGTGGGTGCCTGTAATCCCAGCTACTTGGGAGGCTGAGGCAAGGGAATCACTTAAACCCAGGAGGAGGAGGTTGCAGTGAGCCAAGATCACTGCACTCCAACTGCGGCATTTCCAATGATTAAACCTATCCTTGAGGTTAAATTTAATAGTTTATGGAGAAAATAAAACCAGTAAGATTTTCCTAGACGTGTAAGCAGAAAATCTGAAACATTTCATGCCTCCAAATCAAAAATATCAAATTTCGTCAATTTACTGAAGTTCAATATAGTAACCCAAGCTTTAGTGAAGCTGTTTATTATGTAACACAAAGCAAATTACATAAAATTGCATATGAAATACTTAATGTTTATTAACACCACAGTCAAACGTGAATATTAATATAGAGCCTTCTCTGCCAAAAGAGTATAAAAATCCTAAGTTTAATTAAATTTAGGGGCCTTCACCAAACTTGCTGCAAGTTTGGGGACATAAATATCCAACAGCCATAAAGCTGTGAAAGCCCCTATAAGGAATAAAATAAATCCCACTTGCCTCAGACTGAACAGGGCAACACTGAGACTCAGCCTCAGCCTGTCCTATGGCAGGGCTATAGGAAGAAGAAAATTTTAATTTTAGAAAAACAGTTCCCAATTAATTTAAAAGACATGCATTAATTTTTTTTTTTTAATCCCAATGATCAAGCAAGCAAAAGGAGCAGCTTTGTTTTTTACTGTTCACTACAATTCCATTCTGAGTTCGTACTTATTTTTGTTGGGGAATCCCCCTCCCCAATTAACTAAGTTTAATTAAGATGAGTCTAAGTTGAAAACATGTAACTTAGTGGAATAGAGTACGGTAGGAATATTTTATTCATACCTAACGGCAAATATGTGAGACACTACTAAAATACTAAGTATTCAAATCAAATAATTCCAGCAGCCACTTAAAAGTTAATCCTCACCTGCTGTGGTCTTAACTGCTACACAGTATGAAAACTTATACAATAGAAACTAGTGCCAGACAAAATGTTCTCTTGTTTTTCTAAAAGGGGTGGATGTAAGGTAGAGCCAAAGCTGCCAGCCCCACTAACCTTACAACTTCCTTAATTATGGCAATCACAATGCCTGCCTGAATTATCAAGTCCCAAAAGTTGTCCTCAGTGAGGGCAGTTGGCATTCACTTTGACTCAACTTCATCTATTACTTAAGGAAGGTTGAGTTAAAAGTTAATTATATGAATGTAATTTGCTCTACTCATGATTCAACCACACTATGGACCCCAGAAGCATTTAGATAAAAGCTTTCTAGAAGCTTAATTATGCTTGGATGCATGCAAAAATTACACTTCAAATATATTAAATGGGTACACCACCTATGAGTCTATAGCTACAAACGCAGGAACTCATGAGCTTAAGTTTTATGTGCCAAAGCCTAACACTTTTGATTAATTTTTAATTAGAATTCTACCCCATATTTAAAGTTCTATTTTTGCCCATCAGACCTATACAGAGAGCAAAAAACATTGCTATAAAGTATCAGCCTTCTTTGCATAAAATGCAAATAAAGCTTCACATATTTCTGAAACAGGTCTAGTAACCCTTTTGCAGTTTGCCCACAACCCTGTACATGAAATTCTTGAGAATTTGGGAGAGCATCCCCTACTTAATCACACCATTTTTATCTTAAAGATTTTCAACATAATTTTTCTTCGGCAGTATATTGAGTGTGCTGCCAAATCAAAGAAGTGTGTACTAACTTTGAAACCATTTAGGTAGGCAGAGGTTCAGAGGAGAAAGTGGTTTGGGACTTGGCAATTGGCAGAGGGAAGAAATATATTCTTGGCGAAACATGGACATTTTATTTTCAAGCTATGAAAAATTTTGTACTGCTATGGTATCACAAAGCACAGGAGCTGTAAAATCATTGAAGCCAAATAATCAGATTATTTATTTTCTCACAGAGTCTCGCTCTGTTGCCCAGGCTGAAGTAAACACGGCTCACTGCAGCCTCAACTCCTGTGCTCAAGTGATCCTCGCCTCCCTCAGCCTTTCAACTAGCCGGGACCACAGACCCACAGTAACACACCTGGCTTTTTAAATGTTTTGTAGAGTTTTGCCATGTTCGTCAGGCTGTACTTGCAATCCTCCTATCTCAGCCTTCCAGAGGGCTGGGATTAGAGGTATAAGCCACCACGCCCAGCCAATATGAGGTAGAACAGCATTAGCTTTGTAATATTTGCAATGTCTTGCTTAAACGGATGACTTTTACCTGTCACATAAATATGAACACTTCTGTGATGGCTAAATCACTTTTCAATATATTTTCCTTCAAAGCCCTTTTTTTCTTACAACTTCAGAGTTCATGTCTTTTATCTATATCTTCACAGGAAAGTTACAAAGAAATGTTACCATTTGCTTAGCAATCTTAGCTTTATAATGAGAAAAATTCAACTTGAGTTCATTATATTAATATTTTACATAGGTTATTTGATACCTAAATAGTCAGAAAACTACCCTGAAAAAATAAAGATCAGAAAAACAGATCCCAAAAAGGTCAACAAGAGCTAGTTCCAACACCAAACATTGAAAAGTAGTCATCTCTACAGAAAAGCTCTCTGTAAGAACACAACATTCAAAATTTCCAAGGATAAAAAGTTGCACAGTAAGGCTACCTAGGCTTAATGACAGAAGGTACTCGAATGCATAATGTAATCTTCCAGGATCATAATAAAGTTAAAAACTGCCAACCCATCTGTTAACCATCCCAACAGAGACACATTCAGATTCTCAGCATTATACTTAGAATAATTTATACCAACCCATTAGCAGCACAAGAAGCTATTACTGCATGCACCTAAGCTTCTAGAAGTTTGCACCTGAAAAGCTTCTGAGGTCCATGCAGTACTGAAGTCTCAAAAATAATCAAAAGAAAATGAATGGGTCTGGCACTAGGCTCTAAACATCTTAGCAGGAAGGAAAAAGTGTTAACATTTACATTTTAAGTATCTATGACACCTGATGTGTACTGACACCAAAGAGAGTGGAAAGGTGATTATAAAGATTTTCATATCCATTATGTAATGACTCATATATCTATGTTTTTCTGTTAACTGAAGCATTAACATACAACTCTACATACACTATTCAGTTTAAAACATGCAGCTAAGAACCTAGAACTCAAAGACAGAATCCAATGATATATCAAAATTGCATTGGTAACTATGTATTTTATTATGTGGACATCTACTGTGGCATGCATCTGTACAAACCTTTCAGGCAGTGGTCCACAGCTGGGTTATGAATAAAAAGGCATAAATTTTTCTCTCATTTTATTACAATGAAGTTTAACAGTACAGAAAAGTCACATGACCTTGGTGGGTCAGATTTCTTAAACCCTGCAACATGAGGAACTCTAAATACATTAAATATTGTTACACATTCAGACTTCCAATGTACAAGTACTTGGAAACAGTTACAGCCCTCACCAAGCTAGGTTGGGGACATGAAGTCCAACAGCATCTGAAATGCTGTGAAGGCATAACTTTACAAATAGCAATGTAAGCTTACAGAACTTGCCTTTAATAAGGTGGTATGTTCATGTAATTCCAGCGCCTTCACAATTTAACGAACCAAATTTACTATACTTCACTTCTAAAAACCTAGATGAAACATGAAAAAGAAGCCATACAGTATAAATTGCAACTTCAGGAAAAATTCCTGCTTTATTATTCCAAATAATTTTTCCCATGTAAAATAAATGTCCAATAGTTCCTGGTATGTGGGAAGATAATGTTTGTTAAAGTCACAATGAAGCCTTATTGACGGAAGCTTGGCTATATAAACAGCACAAGTTGAGAAAAGGTTTAATCTCCAAACCTATTAGACTGGATGAAGTAAGATCAGTAACGGCCACCTTGCGACATTACAGGAGGTCTCATTCCCATCGGAGGTCGAGGAGGCCCACCCTGGTAAGGGGGCACCATTGGCGGTCCCTGCCCATATGGGGGCATAGCACCAGGAAGGTATCCTGGCATGCCTTGATGATGACCACCATACTGACCTAAAAAACAACAATTTCAAACACAAAAAATAGATTGTTATGCACTGTACTTTTTAAATGCAATGTATATTCCAAATGAATTTAATATTTTATGCATTAGCTGAGAAAATCCACTAAATATGATAAACATAAAAAGAGGAATACCATGAGGTGGCATTGGGGGTCTCATTCCTTGTTGCTGTGGGATGCCTGGCTGTGGTGGCATCATACCTCCAATTGGTCCAACTGGTGGATTACCGATAGGGGCCTGTCCTGGCCGAGGAAGATTACGTTGATATTTAGGTAACTGTGCCCTTCTCTCTTCCTGGAAATAAAAATAAGCACAAGGTTCAATACCTGAATGCAGAGCTGCATCAAACATAAAGGAATGCATCTAAAATCTTGTAATGTTAAGAGTAATTTTCAAACATTTACCCTTACTCCCCAACTATTTAGTTTTCCCAAACCAACCAATCCAACTGCTTAAACTCTATATACCTTAAAACTTCACCTATTTGTAAACTTGAAGCCTGACTAACAACTTTCCAGGAATTACAAATTGCTTCAACAAGAAACTATCTAATGAAGTATTGTTATGAACATTCCTTTTTTTCCTCCCATAAGACAGAGTCTGGCTCTGTTGTACATTCTAGAGCACGATGATGCAATCTTGGCTCACTGTAACCTCCGCCTCCCAGGCTCAAGTGATTTTCCTGCCTCAGCCTCCCTAGTAGCTGGCATTACAGGTGCCTGCCACCATACCTGGCTAATTTTTGTATTTTTAGTAGAGATGGGGTTTTACCATGTTGGCCAGGCTGGTTTTGAACTCCTGACCTCAAGTGATCCACCTGTCTTGGCCTCCCCAAAGTGCTAGGATTATAGGTATGAGCCACCGTGCCCGGCCATTATCAACATTCTAAATATTGACTTTATATTAAAATTAATTCCTTTATATGGGACTTAGGGGATTTACAGATTCTACTTCACACTTAACAGTTCTTCAATTAATATATGCAAATTTGTGTTTAACTAAAATGATTTTTAAGAGAGTTAACAACCTGACTTACTGTCTTTTCAGAACAGTCTGGAGGAAGGGAAGAGAAAACATCTAAGACCAAAACATGCAATATCCATCCACTTTAAGTACTTTGTGATTTCTTAAGAATCAGAATGGCAAAAACCACTTAGTAAGCATTAAACCAGATCACAGACCATGTGAGTACAAAGTAACACTTTTCAAAGGGACAAATTGCTATTGGCTTTAAATCAAATGCTGCTAGTAGAAAACTGAAAAGAACTTACCAGGGATATATCCTCATCTGGATGGATCAACTTACTGGTTGCACTGGTTGTTGTAAGTGTAGCAGGCTTACTTGTTATTGAAGCTGCTGGTTTAGCTGCAGTACTATTTGTTGTACTAGTGGTTGAAGCTGTAGACTGTGTATAAGCAGGGAATGTAGGCTTTGGGGGTTCTGTAGTTGTTGCAGGGGTACTATTTAAGGGTTTGAAATCTGTACCAACAGGTCCCTGGACAGCTGCCTGAGCCTGTAAAATATAATACTTCATCAACAAAACTTCACAACCCAAATTTAAGTATATCTACAAACAGTTTAACTTAAAACAAGGAATCAACATTAAATAAAGGACCAAACTTTAAATGAAATTATAACAAAGTTAACATGCGACAAACACTCCACAAAATTCAAGATAACCCATTAAGAGTATCAAAAGATGCTGTGTTAAAGTCACATCCAGAACACAGCAGTGGAAATAAAACTGTATATTTAACTTGTTAGATGTCTTCTACCTCCTCACCAAAAATTAAATTTACAATGCTTTGTATTTATTCCAGACTACTGAAATACAGTATGTTATAACAGCATAACATGTGTTCTATTTTTACTGTTCTATTAATAGTTTAGTTGTTAATCTATCAAACAGCTTAAAAAACCCCAAAAAAACTACAGAATATGAGTTTAAACTCCAGTTACTAAGTATAACATGAACGACTATAAATGGTGACACATTAAAGATACGTCCTTTAGCGGTATTCTTTATATATTTATATAATCCCCTCCAAATTAACAATGGCTGGATAATAACCATAGACAAAAGGGTTAATTCAGTAGGATCTTTTAAAGTAACAAGTTATCAGTAACAAATGTGTTTTCATAACACCACACATCTAAAACATGTAGACTAGGCCAACTTTTAGGATCAAAGCAGAGTATTAAATTTTCTTACATTAAATATGATGCATTAAACAGCATAAATCAAAATAGCTTAATCATGCATCAGGCTAACCATTGGCCACTATAATGCATTTACTGCTTACATGCTTTTAACCCTTTAGAAACCGTAGGAGTTTGGGGTACTTTTTTTTTAGTATGAATTCAAATTTTCAAATACCATTTGACTTATATAGCATTAATTTTGCTTTAAAAAATTACACAGTATATTTTTGGAAAAATATTCAGTTTTTAAGTGGGGTCCAAAGGGTTAACTTATAAAGCCATTTTAACAATTTTAAACTGCAACTTCCTGCGTACTTGTGCTGTGCTAGGAAACAGAGCTTTAGAAGATGCAGACAGACTTTCTGAATTGGATGAAGCTGTACTTGAGCTTGTGACAGGTGTCCCCATCTGTAGCATAAAAGAAAGGAAACAATGAAAAGTCTCCAAACAAATGGGTCAAAATAAGCCATGTGGTAGACTTTTTAGATTGCATTTTTGTAAATGCAAAATTGAATGCAATCAAATGTCACTTATTTTAAAAGGCAGGCAGTTAATGCATTTACAATAAACAATATTAAAATATGCACCTAAAAAAAATTTAATTTTATACCAATAAAACCTAGTTAACTAGTTTATTTTCTAAAACTACTGTGTTTTGCATTATTTCAAGAATACCCAAAACTGAGAATAGCGATGTATAAATACTGACACTTCAATCCAATTCTGTATCAATGATTCTCTACAAAAGATTTTTGTCCAAAGTTTTACATCTCTCAATACATAAAATTCCCACCCACCATAAAAGCTGATTAATGTACTTAATAAAAGGCACTTAAAGAAAATGCTTTTAATTTAGCGCTCACAAACAGAAAACAACTTTTAAAAAATCTAAGAGCTAATCTAAAAAATAAAATGAATAAACATACATCCTGATCTAAAGTGTAAATAAATTAAATCTTAATCTGCTTATTTCTCAATGAATCGAGGAAAAAAGTCAAGGTTTTAACGATTTACGTGCACACCATAACAGAAGCATCTTTCACTTATGCTTTGGAAAAAGTTTTCTTTGAAAAAAGACCAATAAGAAATACAAGTGTGACTAGGTCAAAAGCCATTAAATGACACCATTTTAGCACAAGGGCAGCACTGTAGCTCATCACTGTTCCATACTAGAGGCAGAGCCTGACATGATTTGCTATAGTCTTAGGGATGTTCATCTTTGGCTTTGGTCTCATTCCATTCATAGTTCAGTCAGTAAAGGAAGACCTCTAAACACCCCAGATACTAGGTTTAAAAAAAACATTTAAAAAAAAAAAAAAAAAAAAAAAAAAAAGCTAAGAATATATAGGGTTCACAAATATGAAAAAGTAACATACAAACTTTGGCTTCATTCAACCTTTTATGAATAGAGGAAATCAATGTATAAACATGGAAGTGGATAAGCCATCTTTTATATTTAGTAAATTATATTAAAAATATTAGACAAAAAAAAAATTGACCTTTGAGAATTTCAAAGCATTCTGTAAACAACCGTACTTTATCTTTAAATATAAGTGCACTCCTTTTTAGGATTTTCACCTTACCTGTCCAGCACTGGGGAAAAGAGGCTTAGTAACTGGAGGCTGTGGAGCAGGTACAGTTACTGTTGGTGCAGGTGGTCTATTAAGAATACCTGGAGCTGAAACAGCCTGCGCTTGGGTCATTGGAGGAATTCCAGGACGTGGAACAGGCGGGGGCATACCTGCAGACAAGAAATGTTTGGGGAGACTAAGTCACTGAAAAATTTAGTGTAGGAAAACACACTTACTTCTACACTACAAAGTTATTAACAATTAACTGTTCAACACCTCAATTAAGTCCAAGGAACTTAGGCATTTGCCCCATGCAACATTCTTGCCTCAAATTTTCCCTCTATACTGCTTCAGAATTTTACAAAGTGGAAGATAACACTAGACCCTAATGCATGGGCGAAACATTTGGCAATTACACTTACTGGTCCTACTGATTTAGCCAACTTCTTGTAACATATAAAATAATTATTTCAATCAACTACCAGATCAGGAGTTCAAGACCAGCCTGGCCAACATGGTGAAAACCCATCTCTACTAAAAATACAAAAAGTAGCTAGGCATGGTGGTGGGCACCTGTACCCCAGCTACTCAGGAGGTTGAGGCAGGAGAATCACTTGAACCCAGGAGGCAGATTGCCATGAGCTGAGATTGTGCCACTGTGCTCCAGCCTGGACAACAGAGACTGGGCAAGCGGGACTCCATCACAAAAAAAAAAAAAAAAAAAAAAGTATAAGGCCAGGCGCAGTGGCTCATGCCTGTAATCCAAGCACTTTGGGAGGCCGAGGCAAGTGGATCAAGAGCTCAAGAAATCGAGACCATCCTGGCCATGGTGAAACCCCATCTCTACCAAAAATACAAAAATTAGCTGGGCGTAGTGGCACGTGCCTGTGGTCCCAGCTACTCAGGAGGCTGAGGTGGAAGAACTGCTTGAACCCAGGAGGCAGTGGTTGCAGTGAGCCAAGACGGCGCCACTGCACTCCAGCCTGGTGACAGAGCAAGACTCCATCTCAAAAAAAAAAAATGTGCGTGTGTGTGTGTGTATATACATTTATTATAATTTTTGTTTGTTTCTTTTCATTGACTGAGACAATAAATGGCTACACTATTTAATATAGTTTGTTTGGGGCCGGGCGCAGTATCTCATGGCTGTAATCCCAGCACTGTGGAGGCTGAGGCAGGTGGATCACCTAAGGTTGGGGGTTTGAGACCAGTCTGACCAACATGGAAAAACCCTGTCTCCACTAAAAATACAAAAATTGAGCCAGGCATGGTGGCACATGCCTGCAAACTCAGCTACTCAGGAGGCTAAGGTAGGAGAATTGCTTGAACCCAGGAGGCAGAGGTTGCAGTGAGCAGAGATTGTGCCATTGTACTCTAGCCTGGACAAGAGCAAAACTTCTTAAAAAAAAAAATTCTTAACAAATACTAGTGTTCTTAAGTACATGAGATTCAGCACATAGGCCATGACTCACTTTGGCTGCTTTGAAACCTATCATCTATTTCAAACTTCAAAAAAGGGCCATGGTCTTCAGATATCTACTAAAACACATTTTTTTTTTTAAAAAAAAGGATCCATATAACACTTAACACTTTGCAACTTAGGGAAAATTTTAAATTTCATTATACTAATGCCCACAAACGTCTAAAAAACTTAGAAGTAAAGTCTATATAAAACCTGTAAGATGATGGCCGGGTACGGTGGCTCAAGCCTGTAATCCCAGCACTTTGGGAGGCCGAGGCGGGTGGATCACGAGGTCAAGAGATCGAGACCATCCTGGTCAACATGGTGAAACCCCATCTCTACTAAAAATACAAAAAATCAGCTGGGCATGGTGGCGCGTGCCTGTAATCCCAGCTACTCAGGAGGCTGAGGCAGGAGAATTGCCTGAACCCAGGAGGCGGAGGTTGCGGTGAGCCGAGATCGCGCCATTGCACTCCAGCCTGGGTAACATGAGTGAAACTCCGCCTCAAAAAAAAAAAAAAAAAAAAAAAAAAAAACCTGTAAGATGAAACTAACATATCATACCTGGTGGCATTCCAGGCATCAGAGGTGGTATTCCTGGTCCAGGTGGCATCATTCCACCCATTGGCATCATTCTATTAGAAAGCAAATTTCAAGAAATACTAAGTTAATGAACAGCATAAACCATTAAAAAAATATTCTGGCTAAAAGACTTGAATTTGATCTCTAATATTAAAATGAATCAAGCTGAAAGAACACACAACACACTGTAACAATCCTATCAAAATAAATAGTCTAAAACCCAGCAAACTCTTTGGTTTACCAATAAAAGAAAAAAAAAATGTTGACAAAACATTTAAAGTCATTGAGAACAAATACACTCTCAATATGTACAAGAGGCCTCATCTAAAGTATGTGTAATTGGAAAGCAAAATCACAATTTTTTCCTACTTGGAAAATATCAACAGAGTATTAAATAAAAAGAAGAAATCTCTATTTTAGAGTTGTGTTGCATTTTGCAAAGGAAGACTGAATGTACCGTGTGAAAAGAGTTTTTATTTGGCTAGGTGTGGCAACTCGTGCCTGGAATCCCAGCACTTTGAGAGGCCAAGGCTCAAGGACTGCTTGAACCCAGGAGTTCAAGATCAGCCGGGGCAAAAGGTGAGACCCTATCTTGTTGTTTAAAAAAAAAAAAAAAAAAAAAAAAACGTAAAAATTTTAAATACTAGCTGGGTGTAGTAGTGTGCACCTGTAGTCCCAAATACTCAGGGGGCTGAGGTGGGACGATCACTTGAGCCCAAGAAGTTGAGGCTGCAGCAAGCTGTGATTGTGCCACTGCAATGTAGCCTGGGCGACAAGAGTGAGAGACCCTCTCTTTATACATATATATATACAAATATTCTAAGAGAAAGGAAATACAACTACCAAATTTAGAGACACTCAAAAGTAAATCCAGATGGCCTACTATTTACAACAGCTACCTAACACTAAACCATGACTTAAAAACACGACCCATTTATTTTTTTCCCCTAAAAGAGCTCACCTTCAAATCAGTGTCCAATTCACTTAAAAAACTGAAAAAGGGGTCAATTCTCTTTTTAAATTTTTAAAAAATTTTTGTGAGTAAATTCAATTCTTGATTTAGAATTTTTATCAGAAGATTTATTTATATTGATAGATTTTATTAGAAAATTCCATTACAGGCCAGGTGAGGTGGCTCATGCCTGTAATCCCTGCACTTTGGGAAGCCGAGGCAGGTGGATCACCTGAGGTCAAGACCAGGCTGGCCAACATGATGAAACCCCATCTCTTCTAAAAATATAAAAAATTGGCTGGGTGTGGTGGTGCATGCCTATAATCCCAGCTACCCAGGAAGCTGAGGCAGGAGCATCGCTTGAACCGAGGCGGCAGAGGTTGCAGTGAGCTGAAATTGCACCATTGCACTCCAGCCTGAGCAACAACAGCAAAGCTTCATCTCAAAAAACAAAAAACAAAAAAAAAAAAAAAAGAAAAGAAAATTCCATTACATCCTATGATAATAAAGTACGTAATTTCACAAAATATACAGTCTTTCTTTCTTAAATACTAACCCTTATTATCAGGTCCTATTACTTTCAATACTTTGGAGAAAATCGCTACACATTGGAAGTATGTTTAAATAGGTCTATTACTATTTCCTAAAAAGATGTTCTATTTTCCTCCTTTAAGAGACCTGTGCTAATCAGCTTGCAAGTTTTAGTGAGGAAGGTTAGAAAAGTTCTGAAGTCAACTGAATAGATACCATTAAACACACACATAAAAAAATGACATTATGATTATACCTCCTGAATTACATTATGAATGAGATGCTTACATGTTTTCACCGCAAAATGACTGGGTGTATTTTCTCTGATGATGCAATCTGTGAAAATGTATGACAAAATCAAAATCTAACTGTGATTTTCAAAATACAGTGGGAAAGTGTACTGTATACCTCTCACATCCAACAATATTTAAGTAAAAGTGATGGGCACAAGCACCTCATCTTCATTTTTAGTTTTGATGCTTTGACAAATAAATCATTTACAGAGTTTGTCTGCTTCTTGTCGCAACTACAAAGTGTCACAGGTAGTTCTGAATCTCAGAAGCTCAAATCTATACATAACCAACTACTTTAATCACAGCAAATGCAGTTGGAAGTAGATGGTTGCTTACATATACCCTAAAACCCAAAAATCTATTCTTCAGAAGCAAATTCATATTCCTTAAATTTACTGGTTGATCCCTTTATTAGACAAGATTTACAGAGCCCATACCTTCTAGAAACAAAAAACAGAAAGTAACATTTCATTCATATAACATCCAGATTGAAAAAGATCATTACTAGGCACAAGCCCACAAGACAATTAAAAGAATTTTCTTACCCAGGTGGCATCCCTGGCATAACTGGTGGCATTCCTGGCATCAGAGGAGGAACACCTGGCATTAATGGAGGTATGCCTACAAGCGAGAATTTCAATAAAAATAACAAATGTTAAAAAGTCAGGGTGAAGAAGGTGTACTCTGATACAGTATAAATAAAGTCCTAAGAATGTCAGATTTTAAGCAATCCTATGTGCTACCTGGAGGCATTCCTGGTGCTCCTGGTACTGGTGGCAGTCCTGGCTGTGCCATGGGGGGAATATAACCTTGTTGAGGTTGAACAGGTTGTGGTTGAAATGAAGTTGAGGCTGCAGAGTCATCATCATCATATTCATCAGAATCATCTTGTTGCTTCTTTTTTTGACTTTCTGTTAAAAAAAAATTATTTACATAGAGTAAAAACTAAAGTCGATTTACAACATTCAATATTAAAAAAATATGTATTTCGGTACAATTAGTTCATGAGAGTTTTCTTCCCCCAAAATTCAATTAGTACTGTTCTATGTTCTTCAAATGTGTTTTCACCTTACGTTAAACAAGGTTAACGTTCTTTCTGTCCCATAAAAGATAAAATGATTATCCTAAGTCAGTATTTTTTCTTTTAAACTTTTAATAGATAGGGTCTTGCTCTGTGAACCACGCTGGAGTGCAGGAGCACGATTGCAGCTCACTGCACTCTCAAACTCCTGGGCTGAAGTGATCCTCCTGCCTCAGTCTCCCAAGTAGCTAGGACTGCAGGCACATGCCAAACCAGCCCTTTTTTATTTTGTTTTGGGTAAAGATGGGGTCTCAAACTTTTGGCCTCAAGTAATCTTCCAGTCCAGCAACCCAAAGCACTGAAATTATAGGGGTCTAGCATTTTCATATGCCTTAACACTTGCTAATTCTATGTGGAATTCAATTGTGAATAATAAGAAAACAGAATGATCCAAATGGTACAACTTAAGTACGTATCTTCAAAAACAACTCAAATTAAAAATTCCGAATAAATCTATCATCTACCATTAAATTTTATCTATCTTATAACAAGCAATCAATCGATTCATCTAGATAGGGTCTCAATTTTGTTGCCCAGGCTGGACTGGAGCATTCACAGTTCACTGAAGCCTCAACGCCCTGGGCTCAAGAGATCTTCCCACCTCAGCTGAGACTATAGGCATGTGCCACCACGCCTGGCTAACTTTTTAATTTTTTTTTTTTGTAAAGAGAGAATGTCACTCTATGTTGCCTAGGTTGGTCTCCAATTTCTGGGCTCAAGCAATCTTCTTGTACTGCCCGCCCATAGTGCTGAGATTACAGGTGTGAGGCACTGCAACTACCTTACCACTAAATTTATAATTGAAAATAGTAACTCTGGGCTAAAGTGAGGCTGAAAAAAGAATATAATCACAAGGGGAGAGGCATGGTGGCTCACACCTACAATCCCAGCATTTTGGGAGGCCTTGGCAGATGGATTGCTTGAGGTCAGGAGTTTGAGACCAGCCTGACCAACATGGTGAAACCCCATTTCTACTAAAAACTACAAAAACTAGGCCAGCTGTGGTGACTCACATCTGTAATCCCAGCACTTTAGGAGGCTGAAGCAGGCGGATCACTTGAAGCCAGGAGATTGAGACCAGCCTAGGCAACATGGTGAAACGCCGTTTCTACTAAAAATACAGCAACAAAAAAACAGCTGGACATAGTGGTGCACGCCCGAAAACCCAGCTGAGTAGCGGAGGCACGAGAATCGCTAGAGCCTGGGATGCAGAAGTTGCAGTAAACAGAAATTGCGCCACTGCACTCCAGCCTGGCCGACAGAGCTAGACTCTGCCTCAAAAGAAATACAAAAATAAATAAAAACAAAATACAAAAATTAGCTGGGCGTGGTGGCACATACCTGTAGTCCCAGGTAGGTGGCTGAAGCACAAGAATCACTTAAGCCTGAGTATGACAGCTCACGCCTGTAATCCCAGCACTTTGGGAGGCCGAGGCAGGCAGATCACCACTTTAAGTCTGCAGATCGAGACCAGCCTAGCCAACATGGTGAAACCCTGTGCCTACTAAAAACACAAAAATTAGCCAGGCATGGTGGTGCATGCCTGTAGCCCCACTCAGGAGTCCGAGGCAAGAATTGCTTGAACCTGGAAGGCAGAGGTAGCAATGCAGTGAGCCAAGATCATGCCCCTAGGTGACAGAGCGAGACAGACTCCATTTCAGAACAAACAAAAAACAACAAGGATCACTTAAACCCCGGAGCCAGAAGATGCAGAGAGCCAGGATCCCACAACTATACTCCAACCAAGTAAGGCTCTGTCTCAAATTAAAAAAAAATTTATTTAAATATTTACCTTTGTGTTTTCTGTTCAAGAAGTCGTCGTCTTTCATCCATATCTTTTTCTGGAATACCCTCCATACCATATATTTCCAATTCTATGTCTGTTCTCCCAGGTATTGCATTTGGTACGGCATCTATTGTTTCTTTATGTACCTAACAACAACAATTTCCATTAGATAGAAGTATTTTTTAAGAGTAATTCTAAATTAATCAAAGACCACTTGGTATAATGTTAAAAAAATCAATGTTCAGCTAGGTGCGGTGGCTCACGTCTGTAATCGTAGCACTTTGGGAGGCCAAGGTGGGGGATCACAAGATCAGGAGTTCGAGACCGGCCTGGCCAACATGGTGAAACCACGTTTCTACTAAAAATACAAAAATTAGCCAGGCATGGTGGTGCACCCCTGTAATCCAAGCTACTCTGGATGCTGATGCAGGGGAATCACCTGAACCTATAAGAAGGAGGTTGCAGTGAGCCGAGATGGCACCACTGCACTCCAGCCTGGGCAACAGTGAAGACTCCATTTCAAAAAAAAAAAAAAAAAAAAAAAAAAAAAACAGAAAAACACACACTTGGCCAGATGTCTAACACACAGTAAGCATTCAATAAACATTCCTTCAAGTTTACCGTACAATCTTGATTACTTGAATTGTTAGCAATAACTAGTAGTCCTATCCAAATCAGAAATGTTTCAAGTGTGAATTAAGTAAAGATTAGGAAACAGCCTCATAATGAGAATTGGAATATAGCCAGGCTTGGTGGCACACGCCTATAGTCCCAGGTACTCGGAGGCTGAGGCAGGAGGAATGACTTGAACCAGGAGGCAGAGGGTGCAATAAGCTGAGATCACACTACACTCCGGCCTAGGAGACAGAGCAGGACTCCATTTCAAAAAAAAAAAAAAAAAATTAGCTGGGGCCAAGCACAGTGGCTCACTCATACCTATAATCCCAGCACTTGTGGATTACCTGAGGTCAGCAGGTTGACACTAGCCTGGCCAACATGGCGTAACTGTCTCTACTAAAAATACAAAAATTAGCCAGGCATGGTGGCGGGTGCCTGTAATCCCAGCTACTCAGGAGGCTGAAGAGGGAGAATCGCTTGAACCACCCTATGGCTCTTGTTGCCTAGGCTGGAGTGCAATGGCATGATCTTAGCTCACTGCAACCTCTGCCTCCCGGGTTCAAGCGATTCTCCTGTCTCAGCCTTCTAAGTAGCTGGGATTACAAGCATGCACCACCACGCCTGGCTAATTTTGTATTTTTAGTAGAGATAGGGTTTCACCACATTGGACAGGCTGGTCTCGAACTCCCAACCTCAGGTGATTCACCTGCCTCTGCCTCCCAAAGTGCTAGGATAACAGGCCTAAGCCACCTCACCCGGCCCCTTATTCTCATTCTTAAGCCTATTATCCCTGTAGCTTTCCATATCTTCAGTATATGCTAACTCATTTTCACATTGCTGACATAAAACTTTCTTGAGAAGGGTCTCTCTTGTAACCCAGGCTGGAGTTCAGCAGTGCTAACACGGCTCATTGCAACCTCGACCTCCCCAGCTCAAGCCATTCTCCTGCTTCAGCCTCATGAGTAGCTGGGACACAGGTACATACTACCATGCCCAGCTAATTTTTTGTGTTTTTCGTAGAGACAGGGTCGCGTTATATTGCCCAGGCTGGTCTCAAACTATTAGGCTCAAGTGATTAGTCAGTCATCTCAGCCTCCCAAAGTGCCAATTACAGCCGTGAGCCACTGAACCTAGTCAGACCAAACATCTTGAGATCATCCTCAACTCCTTTTTCTCATACCCCATACCTAACCTATCAAACTCTGGTCTCTGTCACCATCTCGTCTAGTATGGAATATTCCAAGTCTTCCAAACTGGTCTCACTGTACTCTGCAGTCTATTTTCAACTCTGCAGCCAGAAAAATCCTTTCAAAAAGCTTAACAGGGCTGGGCGCCGTGGCCCACTTAAGGTCAGGAGATCAAGACCAGCCTGGCCGGCCGGGCGCGGTGGCTCACGCCTGTAATCCCAGCACTTTGGGAGGCCGAGGCGGGTGGATCACGAGGTCAAGAGATCGAGACCATCCTGGTCAACACGGTGAAACCCCGTCTCTACTAAAAATACAAAAAATTAGCTGGGCATGGTGGCGCGTGCCTGTAGTCCCGGCTACTCGGGAGGCTGAGGCAGGAGAATTGCCTGAACCCAGGAGGTGGAGGTTGTGGTGAGCTGAGTTCGCGCCATTGCACTCCAGCCTGGGTAACAAGAGCGAAACTCCGTCTCAAAAAAAAAAAAAAAAAAAACAAAAAAAAAAAAAAAAAAAAAAAGACCAGCCTGGCCAACATGGTAAAACCCCATCTCAGCGGACGGTGGGCCAAGGAAGTCAGAATCCACTAAGGAATGTGTAACAACTCATCTGCCGAAATAAATTTTTAAAAATAAAGTTTTCTATTATTTAAAAATAATAGAAAAAAAAATAAAATCCCATAAAAATACAAAAATTAGCCAGGCATGGTGGCAAGCACCTGTAATCCCAGCTACTCAGGAGTTGGAGACAGGAGAATCCCTTCAATCCAGAAGGTAGAGGTTGCAGTGAGGCAGGATCGTACCACCATACTCTAGCCTGGGAGACAAGAGCAAAACTCCCTCTCCCAAAAAAAAAAAAAAAAAAAAGTCTAACAGATGCCAGATGCAGTGACTTATGCCTGTTATCTCACACTTTGGGAGGCCAAAACAGGTGGATCACTTGAGGCTAGGAGTTTGAGAGATCAGTCCAGCCAATGTGATGAAACCCCATCTCTACTAAAAACACCAAAAAAAAAAAAAAAAAAAAAAAAAAAATTAGCTGGGCATGGTGGCACTCGCCTATAGTCCTAGCTACTCGGGAGGCTGAGGCAGGAGAATTGCTTAATCCCAGGAGGCAGAGGTTGCAGTAGCTGAGATCGCACCACAGTATTCCATCCTGGCAACAGAGCAAGACCCTGTCCCCACCCCCCACCCCTGGCCACAAACAAACAAACAAACAAAAAACACAGAAATGGCTGGGCACAGTGGCTCACAACTGTAATCCCAGAACTTTGGGAGGCTGAGGTGGGAGAATCGCTTGATCCCAGGAGTTGGGAGACCAGCCTGGGGCACATAGTGAGACCCTGTCTCTATAAAAATAAAATGATTTTAAAAGCCAGGTATGGTGGCACACACCTGTGGTCCCAGGTACTCGGGAGGCTGAGATAGGAGATCATTTGAGTAAGGGAGTTGAAAGTCACAGTGAGCTATGATCTGTACTCTAGCCTGGGCAATAGAGTGAGACCCTGTCAATCAATCAAAAGAAAATGTTCTTATCTGTATTATCCAATATAATAATTATCCACCCAGCCACATGTGGTTACAGAGCACTGGAAATGTAGCTAAGTGACAGAGAAAGTGAGTAATTTTTACATGATTTTAATTTTAAACAGCCACATGTAACAAGTGGCTACAACAGTGAACAGCTGTGGGTCTAGCATGCAGCAGGTTCTCTAACCTTTTTTTAAAAGAAGGAGTCTGACTCTGTCACCCAGGCTGGAGTGTAGTGGCACAATCTCAGCTCACTGCAACCTCTGCCTCCCGGGTTTTCAAGCAATTCTCCTGTTCAGCCCCCCGAGTATCCAGGACTACAGGTGTCCGCCACTACGCCCAGATAGTTTTTGTATTTTTGGTAGAGACATGGTTTCACCATGTTGGCCAGGCTGGTCTCTAACTCTTGACCTCAGGAGATCCCCGTCTCGGCCTCCCAAAGTGCTGGGATTACAGGCGTAAGCCACCGCACCTGGTCAACATTTTAAAATGAATATTAAATTTTTCTTAAAGTGTCTGGAGTGAAAAGGATCTATATAAATTTAACTTTAAACCTGAAGAAACCATGTCTCCCTATCTCCCACCAATAGTAGTTTCCAATGATTGGGTATTTGCTCAACTCATATTTCTCCATGGTCTAATTAAGCAAAACTATAGACAGCTCTAAGACTAACAAAAGTAGAATAATACTGAATAAGACATGAAGGTATTTACTAGATCTTAAAAATATAAATTACAATGCTGTCACCATTTACTGGTGAAAGAACTCAAGAAACCTAGAAATTATTAAATGAAATACAATGCTAGGCTGGCACAGTGGCTCATGCCTGTAATCTCAGGGCTCTGGGAGAATGAGGCAGGAAGATGGCTAGAGTCCAGGAGATTGAGGCTGCAGTGAGCCATAATCATGTCACTGCAAACCAGCCTGGGCCACAGAGCAAGGCCATCTCTTAAAAACAAAAGCAAAAGGCTGGGTATGGTGGTTCACGCCTGTAATCCCAGCACCTTGGGAGGCCAAGGCGGGCAGATCACGAGGTCAAGAGATGGAGACCATCCTGGCCAACACGGTGAAACCCCATCTCCACTAAAAATATAAAAATTAGCTCGGTGTGATGGCACATCCCTGTAATCCCAGCTACTCGGGAGGCTAAGGCAGGAGAATCGCTTGAACCAGGGAGTCTGGAGGTTGCAGTGAGCTGCGATCGCGCCACTGCACTCCAGTCTAGCAACAGAGGAAGACAGTGTCTCAAAAAAAAAAAAAAAAAAAAAAAAGGGCAAAAAATACAACGCTACCATTCCAAAAGAAGTCCAACAAATAAACTGTTGAAATGTTGAAATAAACCCAGCCCCAAGCTACAGATAGTAACAAATCCTCCAATGGCAGTGAGTAATGACAGCTGATTAAGTATTAATTCTTATGGCCAGACAACCAACAAAAATAAAATTGCTGATTCCTGTTCTCTGCCAAGTACTCCGGAAATATTTTGTGATCCCAATCTGCTACCACTCTAACCAAGAAAAGTACTATCAGACTAAACACAAATATAAAGTCTCTTTAAACATAAAAAGCCAGTTTTGTTTATCTTCTTGATGGCTATTGAACAAATCTGTTTTTAAGGCTGACTGGCTACCTTATCTTTTACAGCAGGTAAACGAACAAAAAAAAAAATTAGTCATCGGCCAGGTGCGGTGGCTCATACCTGTAATCCCAGCACTTTGGGAGGCCAAGGTGGGTGGATCACCTGAGGTCAGGAGTTCAAGACCAACCTGGCCAACATGGAGAAACCTGGTCTTTCCTAAAAATACAAAAATTAGGCCAGGCAAGGTGGCTCATGCCTGTAATCCCAGCACTTTGGGAGGTGGAGGCGGGTGGTTCACCTGAGGTCGGGAATTCAAGACCAGCCTGACCAACACTCAGAAACTCCATCTTTACTAAAAAAAAAACACAAAATTAACCAGGCGTGGTGCCGCATGCCTGTAATCCTGGAGGCTGAGGCAGGAGAATCGCTTGAACCTGGGAGGTGGAGGTTGCGGTGAGCCGAGATCATGCCACTGCACTCCAGCCTGGACAATAAGAGGACAATTCTGTCACAGGAGTGAGGGGGGATCTAGCAGAGTGTGGCGGTGGGTTCCTGTAATCCCAGCTACTCGGGAGGCTAGGGAGAACTGCTTGAAGCTGGGAGACGGATGTTGCAGTAAGCCCAGATTGTGCCACTGCACTCCAGCCTGGGTGACAGAGCGAGAATCGGTCTCAAAAAAAAATAAAAAAAATTACATTTGTCAGAAAAATAGAAGATTATTCTTTCAAGATGTTTCCAAATCACAAGGGGACAATAAATCCTTACCTGCATGCAATGAATAGCTAAGCCAGGTCCTGTATACAATTTCTTGTGACATATATGGCATTTAAAATGCTTTGCTTTTTGGTGCTGTATAAGGATCTTCTCATCATCAAAATCTCTATTACAATACCTAATCAATACTGTTAAGGCACAAAAACAGCATAGTGGTGACACTGCCTATAATAAAAACATATGAGTAACATTACAATATGGGAACAGCTAAAACCAAAATCGTACTGCACAGAAACTTTGCTTTTGATATTTATTACACAATTAGGGACAACACTTGGCATGTAATTTCAGTATTTTCAATTTCCTGGAAGCCCATCTCTCTTCACTACCACAATAAACACATCTCAGTAATCAGCAATATACTTTATCAAATTCCTGTTTAACAGAGATCTTTGTGAAATTAACTTTTGTTATAAATATTTCAACATTTACAAATGCACACTGAGGACAAGAAAGAGTTAAGAAACCTCCAAGTTTCTATCAGAACAATTACTTCACTAGCTATGTAAACGATAACAATAACCAGAATAGGAATTAGGCAATATTTAGAATCTAAGATTAACCATATGATTAACAATAATCACATAATTTCGAATGAACAATCCATAAAGTTGTTTCCAATTCCATATAAATTTATGTTGCCAAGGACTGTATTTAAATTCACAGATACACTAAATAAATAAAACAGAATTCTTAACTCACAACTCAGGTTTTCCTAAAATCACATTACAAAATTCGTAACCGTATTTAAGCTATTTTTCAAACCGTTACATAAACGCAGAACTCGCAGGGCGCAGCAGCTCACACCTGTAATCCCGGCACTTTGGGAGGCCAAGGTGGGCAGATCACGAGGTCAAGAGATCGAGACCATCCTGGCCAACATGGTGAAACCCGTCTCTGCTAAAAATACAAAAATTAGCTGGGCGTGATGGTGCGCACCCGTAGTCCCAGTTACTCGGGAGGCCGAGGCAGGAGAACTGCTTGAATCCGTGAGGCGGAGGTTGCAGTGAGCCGAGATGGCACCACTGCACTCCAGCCTGGCGCCTGACGACGAAGCAAGACTCTGTCTCAAAAACAAAACGAAAATAAAAAATAAACGCAGAACTGTAAAAGGCCGCCTTTACGTACAAGACAGTAAATAGAATCTTTTTTTTTCTGGGTGACAGTCTTGCTCTGTCGCCCAGTCTGGAATGCAGCGGCACAATCTCAGCTCACTGCAATCTCCCTCTCTGGTTCAAGCGATTCTCCTGCCTCAGCCTCCCAAGTGGCTGTGACTACAGGTGCGCACCACCACGCCCACATAATTTTTGTATTTTTAGTAGAGACGGGGTTTCACCATGTTGGCCAGAATGGTCTCGATCTCTTGACCTAGTGATCCGCCCGCCTTGGCCTTGCAAAGTGCTGGGATTACAGGCGTGGGCCACTGCGCCCAGCCAAAATCAATTTTACCGTAAAGAATATCAACGACTCCGGAAATGGCATTAAATAATGTCACACTTTAGTAAGAGTTTTCCTTTCTAATAAGAGGCATTTTTAGTCCTACAAAGTTGAGTAACAGAAACTCCACCCTGTGACAACGCTTCCTGAAGATTAAGGCGCCTCTGGGTGAGACGGAAGCTAGTTCTCCCCCGGCCCCGAAAAGAAAAAAAGGGTGGCGTAACTTGAGCCTTTACCAAACCGCCAATTCGAAAATACAAACACAAAAAAACACAGACATAAAATAAATAAATAAAAACAGAAAAAGTGGGTGACAGACTGGGAAGAGCCTTTCGCACTCGAAGAAAAAGTCCCTTTGCTGAATCGTCACCAAAAACAACAGTGTGTGTCTGAATGTCCCTAGGGGTCACTGTCCTTGGCGGAGGGGTCCAGGCCGCCTCCCACTGAGTCCAAAATTCGCACCAAACAAGATCCTCCTGAGTCACATAGTCACACGACCCACAACCGCAAGAACCCTCTCGACCTCGGAACTCCATTTTCCCAGAAGCCTTCCCAAGTCCAATCCCAGCCACCAGACCACCCACGCCGAAGCCTAGATACTAACCCTCCACGGCATAGGCCAAACCCAGGCCCCCCAGTCCCAGGCCCCACCAACCGGCACCCCAGCGCGACCTCGACTTCAAACCGACAAAGGATACCAGCACCACGGCTTCAGCTGCTTCTTTTTCTTGCGACCCATAACTGCGCTCTACCGATAAAGTAGTAGGGAGGAAAAAAGCAGCAGGAGAAACGAAGCGAAAAATCGCTCACTTTCCCAACCCAACGGCTTCCACCCCGTCCCACAGGAAGCAGACACAAAATGGCCGACGGCCTCGTTCGCCGCTCCGCCTCCCGTCAGGCACTGCGGTGGAAGGCGGACCCAGGAAGGGGGAGGTCACATGACGCAGACCTCCTCCCTGAGTGGGTGGGACTAAGAGGCGCGAGAGGTGGCCGCCATCTTGTCCGTTTGAGAGTTTTTCGTTCTCGCTGGCTGTGCTTGCTTTCTTCGAGTTTCTTTTGTGAAGGAGCCGGAGAGCTAGGTACGCATGCGAATGGAAAACAAAATAACGGGAAAGACTGCCAGTGCAGTTAGGGCCGATTACACATGAAGATTGAGATAGCGCCCAGTTTTAATTTTGTTTCAATTAAACAGTAAATGTTGATTATGTGCCTATCACGTGCTAAACCTAAGAAGTTATTCTCTGCCTTGTTAACTCGCAGATTGGTGACAGACTAGTACACAACGCAGAGTCCTCAGTGCGGCGCTAGGGAAATGCGAAGTGCTGCAGGACCTCAGAGAGCGGGAGCCTAAGGCGGCCTTAGGGGCAGTGGTCACAGGGTTGTCAAGAAAGACTGTTTCAGAGACGAAGTCTCATTCTGTCGCCGAGGCTGGAGTGCAGCGGCGCGATCTCGGACCACAGCAGTCTGCGCCTCCCTGGTTCAGCGCCTCTCACTACTACCTCCGCTTCCCGAGTGCAAGCAAGTCTCCTGCCTCAGCCTACCAAGTAGCTGGACTTACAGTCGCGCGCCACCAAGCCCGGCTGATTTTTTGTATTTTTAGTAGATATAGGGTTTCACCGTGTTGGCCAGGCAGGTCTCGAACTCTGGGTTCAAGTCATCCGCCCGCGTCGGCCTCCCAAAGTGTTGAAATTGCAGGCATGAGCCACTGCGCCCCACCGAAGAAAGGTTTCTTGAAGAGCCAACGGGAGCAAGCGAGGTGAAAGAAAGTGTGTCTCAGTAAGGGAGCAAAGAGTTTGTCTGAAGCTGGGCACCTGAAAAAACTAGTCGTAGTAAGACTGGAGCTGATAGCCGGGCGCGGTGGCTCACGCCTGGAATCCCAGCACTGAAGGCCGAGTCGGGCAGATCACGAGGTCAAGAGATCGAGGCCAATCCTGGCCGACATGGTGAAACCCCGTCTCTACTAAAATATAAAAACTAGCCAGCCGCGGTTGCTCACACCTATAATCCCAGCACTTTGGGAGACTGAGGCAGGTGGATCACGAGGTCAGGGGATCAAGACCATCCTGGCTAACATGGTGAAACCCCATCTCTACTAAAAATACAAAAAATTAGCGGGACGTGGTAGCAAGCACCTGTAATCCCAGCTACTCGGGAGGCTGAGGCAGGAGAATCCCTTGAACCCAGGATGCAGAGGTTGCAGTGAGCCGAGATTGCACCACTGCACTCCAGCCTGGCCACCGGAGCGAGACTCAGTCTAAAAAACATAGGTATTTCGGCCGAGTGCAGTGGCTCATTCTTGTAATCCCAGCACTCTGGGAGGCTGAGGTGGGAGAATCACTTGAAGTCAGAAGTTTAAGGCCAGCCTGGGCAACAAAGCAATATCCTGTCTGTATGAAAAAATTAAAAATTAACTGGATTTCTGTGGCCCAGGCTAGTAGAGTGCAGTGGTGCAATCGTGGCACACTGCAGCCTCAATCTCCTGGGCTCAATGGATCCTCCCACCTCAGCCCGCCCAGTAGCAGGGACTACAGGGCCATGCCATCATGCCTGCTCCTTTTTTTTTTTTCTGTATAGAGATAAGGTCTCACTTTGTTGTCCAGGCTGGTCTTGAACTCCTGGGCTCAAGTGATCTTCCAGCCTTGGCTTTTCAGAGATTACAGGCGTGAGCCTCTCACTGTTCTAGTGGGTTTATGGATAAGCAGGGGGAGAAGGCTAGAATAATCCATCTGGCCATGGATTAGAGTTGGAGACACCAGTATGAACTCGTGTTTATTTTTAAATAGATACCTAGATAAATATTATGGATATGTCTATATACTCGTTAGTATAAATACATAAAATTTAATTGTCTTAACAGCTGAGAGGGCCTAGAAGCAATAATACCCCATACCAAGCATACTTTGCACCAGATCTTGGTTTGTAATACCATTCTCCAGTAAAATCAACCTGGGCTCCTTGGAGAAATGGCTGATTCTAGGACTGGGGCAGAAAATACACAAAATGAGCCTAGAGAATGTTGTAGTGTCGGGCTGGGCGCGGTGGCTCACGCCTGTAATCCTAGCACTTTGGGAGGCCGAGGTGGGTGGATCACCTGAGGTCAGGAGTTCAAGACCAGCCTGGCCATCATGGCGAAACCCCATCTCTTAAAAAAAAAAAAAAAGAGAGAATGTTGTAGTGTCAGAAAGAGGAAGTGCTCAAAAAACAAACACCGGCCGGGCGCGGTGGCTCAAGCCTGTAATCCCAGCACTTTGGGAGGCCGAGGCGGGTGGATCACGAGGTCAAGAGATCGAGACCATCCTGGTCAACATGGTGAAACCCCGTCTCTACTAAAAATACAAAAAATTAGCTGGGCATGGTGGCGTGTGCCTGTAATCCCAGCTACTCAGGAGACTGAGGCAGGAGAATTGCCTGAACCCAGGAGGCGGAGGTTGCGGTGAGCCGAGATCACGCCATTGCACTCCAGCCTGGGTAACAAGAGTGAAACTCCGTCTCAAAAAAAAAAAAAAAAAAAAAAAAACACAAACACCTACACTGATGAATGTATACCAGAGGGACCCAGAAGCCAACTGAAAGAGTGGGGCAATTTGAGCAATAAAATAAGTTGTGTTATAACCCAAGATAGCCTGGTATAACCGAATATAACTAGTGTAACCCTGATAAAAAAATAATTGATTAAATAAATAAAAGGAGGAGAAGAGACAAATGTCCCTTGCAGAAGTCCACATCGTTTACGTAAATACTCTCAGGGTGGGGTGCACAAATCCTACTCCTTAACTGTGGTTATACACACAATCAACAGAATAGTGAATTCTTTCCAAAGAGAACAGAATGGAAAGGGAGAGGAAAGTAACTTTACAGTAAAGAAACCTAGCAAATACTACCACAGCCAGGTGAGCAAGGTCAGTATCAACAGGAATAAATCATACTTAGTGGTGCATGCCTGTAGTGCCAACTACTCCAGATCCTGATGAGGGAAGATTGCTTGAGCCCAGGAGTTAGAGGTTGCAGTGAGCTGTGATCATGCCACTGTACTCCAGCCTGGGTGACAGAATGAGATTCTGTGGCTAAAAAAATAAGTTAGCCGGGCACGGTGGCTCAAGCCTGTAATCCCAGCACTGTGGGAGGCCGAGGCGGGTGGATCACGAGGTCAAGAGATCGAGACCATCCTGGTCAACATGGTGAAACCCCGTCTCCACTAAAAATACAAAAAATTAGCTGGGCATGGTGGCGCGTGCCTGTAATCCCAGCTACT